TACACAGAATTAGATAGTACAGAATTCAAGAGAAAGCAATTAAGGGTAAAACCAGATATTAGTATGGGAGTGCATGCAGGTATGGTTGAAGTTGGATTTCCAGGTAAAAGTGATTGAAAGAACAATAGAGTTTAGATTGAAAGGAAACCAAAGTATTTACAAGATAAGAAGTTGAAAAGAATTGAAATAATATTTGAAGTGAAATAATATTCGAAATGAAATATTATTTGAAATGAAATATTATTTGAAATGGAAAAATTAGGAAAAATATTTACACACAAAAATAAAACAAAAAGAGTTATTTCGCCACAAAAACGTAAAAAACTTCTATTGAAGTTTTGGCTGTATGCGCTGTGGGATCAAAATGTTTTATTCTGACATACTGCTCAGGGGTTACAGTACGACATTAAAGACTTGAGTGCTTCATTCGCACCCGCTACTGATTGCAATGGGCGGACAGTTCCTCTGGACTACGCCAGAGATTAAGGCGGAAGGCCCTCTTCAGCTTCCTTTCAGGAATCGCAGAAATGGATGGGTGGCAGTTGGGCTGAGAAAGATGAGATGGACGAAATGAAGACAGGAAACAGTGAAAGATTATTTGTGGAATTTTACCTAAATGATTTAATAAAACTACAGAAAAAGCAGACGGACCCGAAATCGAACCGGTGTCTTCAAAAATCATTTGCATTCTCTTTGAGAACGTGCGAACTACTGACGTTCTACAGGGTCCTATCCATAAAATACGTCACTCAGAATTTCACCTCTTGGGACTCCTTTCCTCCCCTTTCGTTATATCCTGATCGACCCCCTAACAAGTATTAGGTACTTCGCAAAAACTGTTCCCCCCATAAACGATTTCTTTTGATTGAATATATCAATGAGAATTTGCCAAATTAAGAAAAACATTAACAAAAAATTCATGAATTGTAAACAACACATTTCCTTAGACTCCCTTTCCCCTCCTTCTTATATCTGGCCACGCTAAGCAATACCCCTCCCCGTATTTGCCAACGTATTTTATGAAAGACCCTGAAAATCTGAAAAACATTTGTTTTACGATTTTCATTCCTTAATTATTGTTAAATGATTCGTAATAAAAATTCTTGTAAGTTAAAAAATAGCTGAACTATTCTCATTTCAAAATCGCCCTTCCATTCTGCCCTTGTCCTGTATAATCTCGTCCTAATAGTAATAATACATTGACTTCTGTGACTTTATTCCAAGCATCGTTTTAGTTTCTTGTTACATCAGTATGATGGCGGGACATGTATCTTTTTCCCTTTGGTGACATCAGCACATCGGCGTTCCATATCCCATATGCACTCATCGGCGTGCTATTCTGTTCCTGCACCGGCAATTTCGCATAGACATTTATTTTTCATTTTTATTTAATAAGTAGAAAAATGCTGAGGTATTGGAAAGAATAGGAGAACAGAGGACTCTTTGGAAGTCAATAAGAAATAGGCGAGATAGGTTGGTAGGACACCTTATCAGTGAAGGTCTAGTCAGAGACATATTAGAGGCAGAAACAGGAGTTAGGAGAGGTAGAGGTAGACCTAGATTAGATTACTGTTCGCAAATAGTTAAGGATGTGGGCTGTTCTAGTTTTAGGGAAATGCGAAGTTTAGGTCAGGATAGGAAAGAGTGGAGGTACGTGTCCAACCAGTCTTAGGACTGACGACCTTATGATGATGATGATGAGAAGAATGCTGAGCATTCTGCAAATTCAACTGCAGGCAAATAGTCGCTTACATAACTAGCACATATTCAAAATCATCAATAATATATAATTATAAACTAATAAGTATGGAAATATAATATCATTAGTTTAGTGCTCTGTATACAACCATATTGATTTCTAACACCGTGTAACGTATTAATATCTTCTATCTTTTTATTTTTTAGTTTTCAATACATAAGTATTTCAAGAACCATTTCATGCGTCTTACTGCCAGGTATTTTGGCAAGTACCCATGATTTTTGCGACATTTCAAAGGTTAGTGCATTTTACGTGTTAAAAATAAACAACTTTGTTACGTATGTGTCGATTTATTGTACCTATTACGTGCAGCTATGATATATTGCATAAAAATAAAAACTACTCCTTTTCCTATTTCCTCGCAATCGCTATAATTTTATTTTTTTTCACTGTAATAACAGCGTCGTACGCAAAACTTGGCGAACGAAAGGATATTTTTATTTAAAGTAGATTAAAATTGGGTAAACGCAAGTTTGATAAACTTACCCCATTTACTGCCGTTAGTACCATTTTTTTTTTTCTTACGATGACACAAATAGTTATATAACGAGTCACTTTATGCAATTTATACTTTGTAAATATCAGTTATTATCAACCCGAAGTTGACGATCTTTAATTAGTAACTGCAGGGTCGTAAAATAATGAAGATAACAATGTACGTATTTTTAGGAAACATTTGATTATTTTATTTTATTTTTATTTTAAAGTTATCGATAGCACTTCCTCGACGACAGTCTGCATTCGATAAATTATTGAAAAAGTACCCGTCTTATTAATAAGTCGTAGATTACCGACGCTGTTTGACAACGAATTACATTGATAAGACGAATATTCTGAAAATAAAGTCCCGCGATTTAACTAGTTCTAAGTTACTCACTACATTTTTTTGCATTAACGCGAACAAGTTTGTTTTGAGTATAAGATCAAGGACGTGCAGCGCCAAATCAGAATTAACCGCAAAGAAAACGTTATAAATTGACTGTTTACCTCGTTACCTTATCGTTTCATTATGTAAAAATGTTTAAAAGCAATTTATTCGTATAAAAATTTTATAACAGAAATAATTATGGACTTTCGTTTTTATGTATCAATTTGAAGAATTTCGAACAAGTTCATACTCAAATAGGTGTTTATATATAGAGTAATTTGGAACCTATTTGTTCTATAAAATAAGAAAACAAGAAAAACTATTGCCGCCAAATAATTTAAAACTTTTAAATTTTGTACGGGTTAAATGAATTTATCTTTTTCAAAGGTAACATGTCTAATATGAAGTTAGCAGTAAACTCCTGTCACAAAGAAATCTATGATCAAATGTCAGTGCATAGTGTCAATCTGTCAATATTATCTATGATGTCAACCTATAAATGTCATTTTAGCATGTAATGTCATAACTCTTCCAAAGTGTTTCATTTAAACATAAATACGTTTGCAATTGTAAAAAATGGTAGAAACAGTGAGTGTATCAATTTCTGGCTTCGCTTTTTCTCTTCTTTTGTACGAGAACGTTAAATGTAATTACGATCAGGTAATAAAATGTAATCCAAATGTACGTTACAGTTTTTCTTATCAATGCTGTTCTTAGGAGGGTTTCTTATTGGGAGAAATTGCGGTAACAGAAAGAAGTAAAGTAACTGACGCAGATCAAGAAGTAGTAAGCATTGATAAAGTTATACGAATTAACTCAATTTTGCCTTGTCCGCAACAATGTAGCTTTTACAATCGAGCTGGAAAGGTTGACATTCAAAGACTTAATGAACTCTTAGGAGAAAACGCAACTAAAGTCGTGGCGTGGTATAAGTATAAAAAAATCAATGGTTTTAAGCTGACGTTGCGTGAAAAAATTATTCATAAACAGCTAGTGGATCTATTTGGTGATTTGTTTTCAATGTGCGTTTTAATGTGTGACAGTTCAGAAAATTTTTCAACACATTCCTTTTATCAAACTTTCATCAGGTATTATGATGGTTGTTATCAAGGAATTCCTTTACACATAGTCAATTTAAGCCAGAAAAATGATTGTTACAAAGTAGCTGAAACTCTGCCTGAAGAGTTTAATAAGATTGTCAGTTCTCTGAATATTGATTTAGAGACTTCTCAAGGACTAGTAGTTGTATCTAAAATACAAGAGGCCTTACAAAAGCACATTGACCATTTGGTTTTAAATTTAGATGAGTCTGAAAAAGAATTATTTGAGTTAGAGGAAGAAGTTAAACAACTCAAGCAGAATTTAATGTGGAAACGTCAATACAGTTGTAGTGTTGATAATCATTTGAACAGTGATTTAATTAATGGGACAGAAGAAAATATAAATAGTGATAATTCTTCAAATATCTTATCTCAAACAGTAACAAATATTTCTGAACAGAGAACTAAACATAAAGGTTCAAAGAGTGCTAAAAAGGATGTAAGCAATACCATAAAGAAAGACAGTGGTTGGATAAACATGGAAGCCAATATAACAACAAGATCAAGGAGTAGGACTTCAAAATAGTTTAGAATATAATGGCTCAATTTTAATAGGCCTTTTACAACTTACCTGTTCAACAGAATAACTAAAAAGAATTATTTCTCAATGTTTTCTAAAAAGTTGATTATAATTTTCTTAAGCTACCAATCTTAAGTGTTTTTAGAGCCTGTGTTTTTATACTTTTAAGAAGAAATCAATTGTAGAATTTTTTTTTTTAACATTTACATTTTGCTTAATTCTGATCCATATTTTTGTGAAAGTATGTATATAAAGTTATATATTCGGTGTTTTTAAATCCGTGTCTGCTTGGATAATAAATCTTTTTAAATCAATAATCTCTAATATAAAAAAAAAAACGTAATTTCAGGCATTGGCGTTACCATTTATGTACAAAGTTATTTTACAAATAAAATTTCAGTTAAGACAAATATATTTATACATTTATTTATAACGTTAAATCCTTCATTAATAAGCAAACGGTGTATTTACATATTCCTGAATATTTATATTTTCTAATGGATTATGGAAACATTGCTTACTTTGTATGTTGGGTTGTCTAATTTAGGAATTCGTTTTAGCCTTTTATCGGAATTAATTATTTAAATAAAGCCCAACGTGTTAAAGATGCCATCACTTCTGGATTTAAAATTAACATTCTAATACAAGACTATACCTATATTTAATCATTCATAATTACAATACCAAGATTTTAGTTTGTACTCTTCTAAAGTAGGTCTATTGGATTGTTCGAATGGCCCTTTATTTCCCAAATTGTGGTTGTGAGTTTTTTCATATGATCCAAAATCAGTGAAGGGGCTACTATTTTCAGATGAACGCTGTATAACTCGTAACATCGTACTTTATTAGGAGATAGTTTTGGGAAACAACTTTGCTTTAATTTGCTAAAAACGGAAAATTATTTATAAAAACATTATGAAGCAAAGGGAAAGTTTTTTATTACTAATAAAAGTCTCCATTGATTATTCCCGGTTTTGAAATTTTATTTATAGCTTCAGAAGCATTAACAGGTTTTAAGACCTCTCCAGTTACATCTTCAAACCACAGAAAATATGCGAATTTAAAGGTCAAATTTTTCCATAATAACGATAGGTAACCTTCTTGCAAGTGCTTTTGACAAAATTGGATCATTTGCCACACCTATAAAAAAAAGCAGGAATCTTATGTTCAGACATTTTTACTTCCCTGCACGTCATTCTATATACTAATGCTTGTTTATATATATAGCGTTATGAATAATTTCCCAAGCCAAACAGCATACTTCTTTTTTAAATTCCTCATTTGCATCGTCGTTGACGCTGATATCTAGACCGGGAGCCACAACACGATGACTGGTTCTGTCTATGTACACAAAGTGCACAAGTCCTGGGAATTGTTCTAAGTACTTAATTTTGTGTTAGGGAAAATATACAGACAAAACAGTAAAAGGCAATTATACATTATATACTATAAAAGGATATGATCCCAAAGAGAAATTTTTCAATGCTTTCACTCTGAACATGTCATTGAACGGCATCAATCTTTCTCTAACAACATCTGTAGCATCTTTTAAGGTTTTTTTGGTACTATTTACCAGATCGTAATCAAAACCTATGGCGTCAAACAGTTTTTTTAAAACATCCGCAAAATTACCGAGAGCTAATTCGGATTTCATAAAAGCTTCGTCCGACCCGTACTTTAAAAAATCATCATACGCTTTTTTAGTTGCTTTCCATCTGGACGTGATCATTTTATGGTTTATTTCAACCTTTTGTGCTTTTAAATTCTTAAGTTTAGTATTTAAAATGTTCACAGCTACCTCAAGATTATGCATAGCCAATTTCATCATTTCAAAATTCCTCTGATTTTGTAAATTTTGCAAGACATTTAGATGTATAAAAGTGTCATATGTGGCTATACAAGTGGAAGAAACGCGTGGCGATTCTATAAGGATTGTCAAGCAAATTTCTTCCGTAATGGGGATAAAGTGAACAACATGGGGCACACATGTGGGATCTGGCTTATATCCGGTCAGAAATACATAAAAGCTGTAGATATTTTCGAGCTCAGTTTGTGTGGATAAAGAACAACTGTTGCTGTTTTGTGAAAAACAAGACTCACTTAAACTCATTTGAGTTTCTGAGAGCATGGGAGGAGTTGTTAATTCTGTCTTTTTAGCGTTATTCAACAAAATTAATAGTAATAGGTCTGCAGAAGACAATTCACTTGCATTTTGACTAAAACAAAAAATGAAATTAAAATTAAGAAAATGTACTTTGAAACATTTTTAGTGAGATATGACATTATTAATGTGCCATACCTAGAATAGAGAGATAAGAGTTTATTTTGTACCAAAATTAAGGCATGGGCCTTGCGAAGCTTAATCTGTTCCACAGTGTCCTTAAGAATTACAAGAGTTGCAGAGCGTAGATCCGAATTTATGATGAGTTGCTCTACAGCTTCCAATTTAAGAGACTGATCAACATTGCTTATGTTTTCCCAACATTCTAACAAACTTCCAGCTAGCTTAGAATAATACGACTTATTTCTAAGTCTAAAAAGGATGTTTAAATTAATTTAAGTAAAAGTTAGATATTTATAAGTAACTTACAAATCAATGTTCATACAGCAAACAAACTTTACAATGCCTATGCACCATCTTTGCCATGTCTTTATACTGAAAATAGTATCTTTGCTAATAGCAACAAACAAATGCCCCATACACTAAAATTAAACCAGTTTTAAAGTGTTTATTAATCTGCAAGTATATATATGATTACAAATTATTATCTACATACTTCTTTAAATACCAATTTAATTCCTTCTCCACATTCAATTGAATCATATGTATTACTAAACTCACAGTTCATTACACGGTGGGAAGTAATTAAAGGTGAGAATATTTGTACTATAACATTTAGACTAACTTCCTCTTCATCTTCCATCTCTGCACACTGTAAAAAGTACTGTTGAGTATATATATTAGATATAACGTTCTTTTTACCTTTTCAGGCATCAAGCCTTGTGTTTTCGCATAGGTATTAATGTGATTTAAAAATCCCTTGTTGTATTTTAAAAATATTACATCATTTAAAGCATTAAAAATTAATATGCACTTCATATTAATTAATTATTATTAACTGATTATATAATAATCTTAATCGTGACTGTCTTAAGCTCTCGTATTTCATATTTTTTGCTGCTAATAGTTTTTTACCTGAAGTGGTTTGTATATGCTTAAATTTCATATTTATTTCTTTGTTCAAATATTTATAATAAATATATATACAGTATGATGGATCTATAGATTGTGAAACCTCGATCATAGAGTTGTGTGAATCTGGCACCCGATATAAATAATCTGTTAATTCACAATGAACCATAAATTGTGCGTCGTTTGCGGGTTCTAAATATGTATACAGCGTAATTATGCGTCTATTGGTTGTGTTAAAAAGAAGAAAACGTGTTTCCGGCGCAGAGGTTTGACGCCAAATGTTCTGCATCATTTGTGCATAATACCAATTAAATTTGCGGCGTAATAGATGATTCTATGAATTTTATGCACCTATGAAAGAAGACACGCGTCACCGCCATTTTAAAAGTAAGAATTTTACAATTTTACTTGCTTTTTTGTATTTTTATTCTATTTCATTATATATTTACTTCATACAATAGTTAATTTGTTATTTCTACAGATTCCATCAAAGATAAATGAGAGAGAAGATTGAAGTTTATTTTTGATGCTACTGAAAAAGCAAGTCGTCTCCTATGGTGTTTTATCTGTTAAGTTATCATCTTGGAGACTTACAGTTAATTAAGGTGAGCATACATACTATATTATATATGTAGGGTATTAATTGATATTAACAAAAAAAGGGTTGAACATTAACTAGGGAAGCTAAAGAAATTGTATTTGAATACTTTTTCATTGATTTCATTTTATAGGAACACTAGAAAACTCCAGATGCCATTAAATTAAGGAGCATTCGTTGTATCAGTCCTCATTTGCTCCACAAAATAAATGTGTACTTAAAGTCCTAAAGAAAGCATGGAAGTGTCTTTTTTCCATTGGGAATGAAGACAGTGTGCTGTTGCTGTAGGAAGGATTCATGACAGTAAATTTGTAAATAACTATCAATTAGACATAGTAAATGAGATTCCAGAAACTTCGTATCTCTTAGACATTTGTAACTTGCTTCAATAGACAACTTTTAAACAATGTGTTTTAGAAAGTGGTAATTAATTACTTTTTCTTGTCCGTTTCTATAGATTGTCTAACGAACAAATGAGAAGAAAAATTGCAGTTAATTTTGATGCTGTAGAAACAACCGTTGCTTTTGGGGCATTGGTTGTCTCAGTCATCAAGTGGCTGTGCCTATGGTCCTAAAAAAAGCATGAAAACGCCATTTTTCCATTGAGAACGGAGACAGTGTGCTGTTGCTGAAGAAAGGATTTATGACAATGAACTGGTAAGTAACAGTATCAATTAAAAATAGTAAGTGAGCTCCCAGAAACTTCAATTTCTTAGACATTTGTAACTTGCCTCAATTGACAACTTTTAAACATTTCTGCTTAACATACTTGCTTTAAAAGTGGTAATTGATTACTTTTTTGCCCGTTTATATAGATTGTCATAACAAATTAGAAGGAATTGGTGCTACTTCATGTTTTTATCTTGCAACATTATGCAGTTAGTTTTGGCCCTGAGAATGGGAGGCAAATGGAAATTAATTTGGAAGCCACTGAAACAAGAAATTGTCTGCAGTGATATCCCTCCTAGATTTGTTTTGCTCTGCTCATGATACTGGTAGACTTTGGAACGCTACTTTCTACAGATAGTCGAGGTGAGAAAACAAGACATAATTAATATTAATTGCTCTTTATTAATCTATAGTGGCATTTCTTTTAAACTGTTATCAATTGGCCAGAGGATAGGTTGATGTTGTGGCGTATGTATAGTATTTTAAATATCTATAGTCCACAGCACCTATGGTATGTCGCTTAACGTTTATCTATTGTTGACAGTTTAAATTGACTTGTGCATCTGTGGATTTTTAATAAATTAATGTTATGTGCGTCTATGATTGTTTCACATTTATATGTCATTTAGTTTGTCATGTAAACTTGACGCTTGTCGCCATTTTACAATTCAGCTTTTTTACTTGGTTTTTGATGCGTGTTTCTAGGTGTGTTTAATCTCTTCCTTAATTAATCGTGTAATTAATATGTTTTTTGCCCATTTCTACAGATCGTTCAACAAATGAGGGAGTTAAAGTTCATTTTGGTCGTACTGAAACAACCATTATCTACATGGGTGTGGTCTTTGGTGAACTACATCCTTGATTTGCTATTTTCGTCTTCGCTTTGCATCAGTATGCAGTTAGTTTTGAACTGATGAGTGAGAAGCAACTGGATATTTATTTGAATTCCGCTGAAATAAGAAACTTTCTGCATTGGAATTATTCCTGGATATGGTTTGCTTTTCACACCTGCAAACTTTGAAACATTACAGTCTAGAGTTAATTAAGGTGAGAATACTTCATATAATTAATTTTAATTGCTCTTTATTAATCTACAGTGGCATTTCTTTTAAACTCTTATTTATTGGCCGTAGTATAGATTGAGGTTGTGGCGTATGTATAGTATTTTAAATATCTGTAGTTCACAGCATCTATGGTATGTCGTTTAACGTTTATCTACTGTTTACAGTTTTAATTGACTTAAGCATCTGTGGAGTTTTAATAATTATCTATGGTCTACATTAAAAATTAATGCTATATGCATCTATGATTAGTTCACATTTATATGTCATATTTAGTCTGTCATGTAAACTTGACGCATGTCACCATTTTATAGTTCCGCTGTTATACTTGGTTTTCGATGCGAGTTTTTAAATGTGTTTGATCTCTTCCTTATTTAATGGTGTGATTAATATGTTTTTTCCCCATTTTTACAGATTGTTCAACAAATGAGAGGGAGTTGAAGTTTATTTTGGTCATACTGAAACAACCATTATCTACATGGGTGTGGTCTTTGGTAAACTATATTCTTAATCTGCTGTTTTCGTCTTCGCTTTGCATCATGATGCAGTTAGTTTTGAACTGATGAGTGAGAAGCAACTGAATATTTACTTGAATTCCATTGAAATAAGAAACTTCCTGCATTGGCATTATTCCTGGATTTGGTTTGCTTTTCACAGCCGCAAACTTTGAAACATTACAGTCTAGAGTTAATTGAGGTGAGAATACTTCATATAATTAATTTTAATTGCTCTATTAATCTATAGTGGCATTTCTTTTAAATTCTTGTCTATTGGCCGTAGTATAGATTGAAGTTGTGGCCTATGTATAGATTTTAAATATGTGTAGTTCACAGAATTTATGGTATGTCGTTTAACGTTTATCTACTGTTTACAGTTTTAATTGACTTGAGCATCTGTGGAGTTTTAATAATTATCTATGGTCTACATTATAAATTAATGCTATATGCATCTATGATTAGTTCACATTTATATGTCATATTTAGTCTGTCATGTAAACTTGACGCNGCTTTGATATTTTCACCTTGCAACATTATGCAGTTAATTTTGGTCCTGAGTATTGGAGGTCATCGGAAATTAATTTGGTTTGCTCAACATACTGATGAACTTTAGAATGCTACTTTTTAAGGTTAACTGAGGTGAAAGTACATAAGATTATCAATATTAATCGCTCTTTATTACACTGTTATGGCATTTCTTTTAACAATTATATATTCTCCACAGTATAAATTGACACGCCTCTATGTTATTTACATTAGTTTAACCAAGTATTACGCACATTATTTACTAAGGATGCTAAAATACTGTATCATTTTACAGGAACATTGGAAGAACTCCAGATTCTGTTAAATTATGGGGAATTGGTTGTCTCAGTCGTCAATTGCTTTAGAAAGTAGCTGTATCTATGGTCTTAAAAAAAAGCATGAAAACGTGTGTTCAGTGTGCTGTTGCTAAAGAAAGGATTTATGACATTGAACTGGTATGTAACAGTATCATTTAAAAATAGTAAATGAGGTCCCAGAAACTTCAATTTCTTAGACATTTGTAACTTGTCTCAATAGACAACTTTTAAACAACATTTCAGCAGAATTAATATGGAACTGATCTTTTGATTAGTGTGAATGTTACTGATTTACTTGCTTTAAAAGTGGTAATTGATTACTTTTTTTGTCCGTTTCTATAGATTGTCGTAACAAATTAGAAGATATTGATGCTACTGAAACAACCGATGCTTTTGATGTTTTCATCTTCCAACATTATGCAGTTAGTTTTGGGCCTGAGAATGGGAGGTAAATGGAAATTAATTTGGAAGCCACTGAAACAACAAATTGTCTGCAGTGATATCCCTCCTATATTTGTTTTGCTCTGCTTATGATACTGATAGACTTTGGAACGCTACTTTCTACAGGTAGTCAAGGTGAGAAAACAACACATAATTAATATTAATTGCTCTTTATTAATCTATAGTGGCATTTCTTTTAAACTGTTATCTATTGGCCAGAGTATAGATTCACGTTGTGGAGTATGTATAGTATTTTAAATATCTATAGTCCACAGCACCTATGGTATGTCTTTAACGTTTATCTATTGTTTACAGTTTAAATTGACTGGTGCATCTGTGGAATTGTAATAAATTAATGTTATGTGCGTCTATGATTGTTTCACATTTATGTCATATTTAGTCTGTCAGGTAAACTTGGTGCTTGTCGCTATTTTATAATTCAGTTGTTTTACGTGTTTTTTGATGCGTATTTTTAGGTGTGTTTAATCTCGTCCTTAATTAATCATGTAATTAATATGTTTTTTGTCTATTTCTACAGATCTTTCAACAAAGAGGGAGTTAAGGTTCATTTTGGTCGTACTGAAACAACCATTGTCTACATGGGTGTGGTCTTTGGTGAACTATATTCTTGAGTTGCTGTTTTCGTCTTCGCTTTGCATCATTATGCAGTTAGTTTTGAACTGATGAGTTAGAACAACTGGATATTTATTGAATTCCACTGGAATAAGGAATTTTCTGCATTGGCATTATTCCTGGGCTTGGTTTGCTTTTCACACCTGCAAACTTTGGAACATTACAGTCTACAGTTAATTAAGGTAAGAATACTTGATATAATTAATTTTAATTGTTCTTTATTAATCTATAGTGGCTCTTTTTTTAAAACTCTTATCTATTAGCCGGAGTATAGATTCAGGTTGTGGCGCATGTATAGTATTTTAAATATCTATAGTCTATAGCATCTATGGTATGTCGTTTAACGTTTATCTACTGTTTACCCTTTTCAATTGACTTGAGCATCTGTGGAGTTTTAATAATTGTCTATGGTCTACATTATAAATTAATGCTATGCGCATCTATGATTAGTTCACATTTATATGTCATATTTAGTCTGTCATCTAAACTTGACGCGTGTCACCATTTTATAGTTGCGCTGTTATACTTGGTTTTTGATGGGTGTTTTTAAGTGTGTTTGATCTATTCCTTATTTAATAGTGTGATTAATATGTTTTTTTTTTTCCCCTTTCTACAGATTGTTCAACAAATGAAAGGAAGTTGAAGTTCATTTTGGTCGTACTCAAACCATTGTCTACATGGGTGTGGTCTTTGGTGAACTATATTCTTGATTTGCTGTTTTCGTCTTCGCTTTGCATCATTATGCTGTTAGTTTTTAACTGATGAGTGAGAAGCAACTGGATATTTATTTGATTTCCACTGGAATAAGGAATTTTCTGCATTGGCATTATTCCTGGATTTTGTTTGCTTTTCACACCTGCAAACTTGGAACATTACAGTCTACAGTTAATGAAGGTGGGAATACTTGATAAGTGCTATAACATTTAGACTAACTTCCTCTTCATCTTCCATCTCTGCACACTGTAAAAAGTACTGTTGAGTATATATATTAGATATAACGTTCTTTTTACCTTTTCAGGCATCAAGCCTTGTGTTTTCGCATAGGTATTAATGTGATTTAAAAATCCCTTGTTGTATTTTAAAAATATTACATCATTTAAAGCATTAAAAATTAATATGCACTTCATATTAATTAATTATTATTAACTGATTATATAATAATCTTAATCGTGACTGTCTTAAGCTCTCGTATTTCATATTTTTTGCTGCTAATAGTTTTTTACCTGAAGTGGTTTGTATATGCTTAAATTTCATATTTATTTCTTTGTTCAAATATTTATAAAAAATATATATACAGTATGATGGATCTATA